CTTCTGGGCGGTACTCGAGGAGTCGCCACTGCTCGGGAGAGCGAAGCAAGGAGGAGCCGAGGCGACCTTCTTCGTGTCCTGCACGTCGTACCACTTGAGCTTCTGCACTGGCATGCAAGGTGTGTATGTCGAGTTCTCGACTGCCTCTGTGGCAGGGGCGGCTGAAGAGCACGCTACCTCTACCACCATCACCCACCAATCACCCCACCCACCCTCCACTCACACCTCTTCCCTCTCCTCATCTCTCACTCCGCGTCCCTCTCTCTACCCACCTTCTCCCCTCCCTTACCCCCCTCGCTTATCAACATCTACACGCTGCTCCTCATCCTCCGCCTCCGCCCTCGCCCCCCCTCCTCCTCCTCCTCCTCCTCCTCCTCCTCCTCCTCACCTCCTCCTCCTCCTCCTCCTCCTCCTCCTCCTCCTCCTCCTCCTCCTCCTCCTCCTCCTCCTCCTCCCTCCTCTTCGTTCTCCTCCACCTTCTCCTCCTCCCCCCCCTCCTCCTCGTTCTCCTCCACCTTCTCCTCCTCCTCCTCCTCTTCCTCCTCCTTCTCCTCCCCCCCCTTCGCCACGGCGGCGGGAACTCGGCGGGCCCGCGCAGCACCAGCGCACACGCTGTGGAGAACCAGGGTCGGTGCGGCAGATTCGTGCGGCGCTGGCGCGCGCAAAAGTTTTGACACCGCGTCGATCTTGAAGGCAGAAAATCCACCCCGATAATAACCACCCCGACACGCGAAGCCGTTTAGTAAACGCGCCCAAAGAAGGAATCAAACAGGGCAGGGTTGTTTAATAAACGCCCAGGGCCGTTTAGTAAACGCCAATAGTCCGGTCTGGGTGGTTTTTCCTCCCTTGACGATCGTTCATCGGCGGCGAGCGAGGGGGGAAGTGAGAACGAGAAGGCCTTCTCAAAGGAGGCGGGGCTTTTCGGAAGCCCTCGCGCCTTCTGGGCAGTTTTCCGTGTCTTCGGGGAAGGCCCAGAAAACTTCTCGGAAAGCCCAGGAGCTTCTGAGACTTCTGAGAAGGCCTTCTCCTTCTCGCTTCCAGCCCCGGCTCGCCGCCGATTCGACTCCGTATCGATCGTTCAGCCTTGAATCGATCGCGGCCTCGATCATTCAAGGTTGAATTCCGTCGGGTTCTGTAGCGTTGCCGTGTCCCTCGGTGCTTCCGCGTCGCAGGATTCAACCTGGAACGCCTTCGCTGCGTCTCCAGCGCGCCATCGCCGCGTGAAACTACCGTAAGAAGGGGGCCCGAGGCGTCGCATGCTGTTGGCGCAGCGGCAGCCCTACGATCAGGACCTTTTACACAGCGTGTCGCGGCGGCGCCTCCGGCGACACTGTGCCCTGCAAGCGGACAACGTGTCGCTCCACTCCGCGGGGGCGGGAGGCCGGGAAACCCTGGGGGCGCTGGCGCCTGGGACTGAGGACGTGGAGCGCGTGTCGCGCCAAAGCGTGGTGGGCCAGAGCCTGCGGTGCGACACGTCTCGCGCCAGGGTGACGGCGGGGTGTCACCCTACGGGGCAGACTCAGAGGCTGTCCCCGATGGGCCCCTGCTTGGGCAGGGGAGCTTGGGGGGTCGGGCCTGGCAACTCTCTGCCCTGCCACGTGGGCCTGGTCCCCCAATGGGGGCAATGGGCAAGGCGGGTCAGGAGACGAAGGAGCGGGAGGCGGAGGAGGACGAGGACCAGTGCAAACCCAAGACGCAACGAAGATGTTGCAGTAAACCCTGCCCCCGAGTTCCCTCTTCAGAGATCCCTGCAAACATAAATTCTTCATTGCGGGAAGTGCCCACTGCGAAGACAACCGTCAGATCCCACTCGTGCCAAAACATCATTCTTGGGACTTCGCCCAGGCGAATCAACGTGACTGATGCGTCTCTTGACAACCCATATCGCACCAGGTCACCAATGCTGGGACATCGACACCGCGGATCAATGCGACTGCTGCGTTCTGACAATCCTATTCTCACCAGCGCACCACTCTAGGACTACAACAATACGAGTCCTTGAAACTGTTGCAAACTTGTAAGACTAGTATGCGCGGCGCTAAAGTGAGAACCACATGTTGACAAGGAATCGCCCTCCATCCTGGAATGTTACACAGTTCAAAACGAATGTGCTCGGCGCAAAAGCCAGAGCCACATGTTGAAAACCACACGCCCTCCAGCCTCGAAACTTTTGCAAACTTCAGAACGAATGTGCGCGGCGCAAAAGCAAGAGCCACATGTTGAAAACTACCGATTCTCCATCCGTGAAACGGGTGCAAACTTCTAAAGCGAATGCGCGCGGCGTTAAAACAAGAGCCACACTTTCAAACCCACCCGCCCTCCATCTGTGAAGCTGATGCACCTTTCTAGGACAAGTGTGCGCGACGCTATTACGTCGAGAGCCACACATTGCTCCTCCTCCTCCTCCTCCTCCTCCTCCTCCCCCTCCTCCTCTTCCTCCTCCTCTTCCTCTTCCTCCTCCTCCTCCTCCTCCTCCTCCTCCTTCTCTTCCTTTTCCTCTTCCTCTTCCTCGTCCTCCTCGTCCACTTTTTCCCTCTCCTCCTCCTCCTCCTCCTCCTCCTCCTCCTCCTCCTTTTCCTCCTCCTCTCCCTCCTCCTCTTCCTCCTCCTTCTCCTCCTCCTCCTCCTCGTCAGTGTTTGCCCCCATGTGTCGTCCCTCGCAATGAGTCGCCCGAGGGGGGCGCGAAGGGCGCCCGTCCTGCGGACATCGCAGCGTGGGCTCGCGCGGCCCGTGCGGCCAAGAGAGCCGCTGAGAGAGCTTCCAGGTGCTCCCACCGACGGTACGCAGGACCTGGTCCCAGCGCGGCAGGACTCGCTGCAGCAGGTGCTTGCGCTTGTCGGCGCTAGCGGAGAACGAGCGGTCTCAGACGGGAGCCCGCTCGCCGCCGGTGTCCCGGGCGCTGCCCCTGATTGGGCGCCGGCCGAGGGCGCCTTCTGGGTACGGCCGAGGAGGCGGGGCGGCGTGGGCGCCGGGCGGCCCCTTTGTCGGGGCTGGCTGGCTGGTGGAGTACCAAGCCAGGCGGGGGTGCAGCGTGGGCGGCGGCCGGGAGGGCGCCCTGGCTTGGCGGCGGCGCAGCGTGCACGGGAGGCGGACCCAGGGCGGGGGCGGGCCGGGCGGGGCTCCTGCAGTCGGCGGGCCGGTTGGCCGCCCGCGTCTGTCGAGGGGGTGGGCCCCGGGTGCCGGGCGCGGGCCCAGCGGGTGTTGGCGCGCGGTGCCCCCGCCTGCCCGGGCCGCGCGCTGCTGGATCGCGTCTCCGCCGGTCCCGGCCTCGCCGACTGCGCCGGCGGCCTCGCCCAGCGGGTGTCGTCCTGGGGCGGCACGAGGCAGGCCCATGGGCGCCTGCCGCCGAAACAAGCAGAAAGCAGAATAACACGCGCTCTCGCCGCGCTCGCAAAGCGCACAATCCGCGGGGGGGGGCCGTGGTCGGCGCGCGCTCTCTTCGGGGAAGCGCCGAGCGCACGCGGTTCCCCCCGCTTCGCCGTCAGCCCCCTATGCCTATGCCCTTGTCCAACCTAACCCAAAGCCGGGGCAGAAGCGAGGGCGCTGACCCCGCAGTGTGAAGGGATGCCTGCAGTGATCTGTGCTGGGACGCGCGAGGGCACGACGGCACGGTGTGCCCTCCTTGGAGGCGTGCGCCCGTCCAACCATCTCGTAGTATGTCGTTGCCCACGGGGCCCTCGTCATTCAAGAGGGGCGCTTCCCGTATTGTGGATGGATGCTTGCGGTGACCTGTGATAGGACGCACGAGGACATACCGGCACGATGTGCCTTTCGTGGAGGCGTGCGTCCTACCACAACATATAGTACAACCATATTGTACTATGTCGTTACCCACGGGGCCCTCGTCATTCAAGAGGGGCGCTTTTCGCATTGTGAAGGGACGCCTGCAGTGACTTGTGATGGGACGCACGAGGACATACCAGCACGATGTGCCCTTCTTGGAGGCGTGCGTCCGACCCGAACATAGAATACAACCATAGTTTAGCATATCGTTTCCCGAGCGGTATGGCCAGAAAGCGCCCGCCACGGAGCTTATAACTACCATAAGGTTTCTCGGTGCGCCCGCGCGTCGCCCCGCGGGGGGCGAAGCACACATAGTATGAGAATATGGGGGTGACGCCGAAAAAAGAGCAGCAAGCAGCCTGGGTGCCCTGTGGTCCTCCTGCTCCTGCTGCTCCTGGGGAGACCGAAAAATACCAATACCGCAACTCCCCGGCCCTCTCCTGGGGTGCGCTCTGACCAGGATTTCGAAGCGAATTCAGCGGTGGCGACGAGGGCCGCCCAGGAGGCCCAAACAGGGGAAAACGAGGACAAGGTGGCGGTATTGCTACCTTTTCCTGGTCTGATCCTCCTGCTGCTGTTTCTGCTGCTGCTGCTCCTCCTCATCATCATCGCCACCATCATCCTCCACCCTCCCCCCCAAAAAGAAGAGCTGAAGTATTGCCGCTCCCCGCGGCGCCCCCGCGTGGATCTGGCACAGCCGGATCCTGGACCAGATCTGCGCATAGGCTCCCATGTCGGATGCCATGTCGTGCCTGCCGTGCTGCAAACGGGGAGCAACATCATTCGAGAGGGTGCGATGCGGAGGAGGAGGAGGAGGAGGAGGAGGAGGAGAAAGAGGAGGAGGATGAGGAGGAGGAGGATGAGGAGGAAGGAAGGACAACGACGAGGACGAGAACAATTTCAAGGATGGAGGGCGGGTCGTTCTCACAGTATGGCTCTCGCTTCAGCGCCACGCATATTCGTCGCAAAAGCTTGCAAAAGCTTCAAGGATGGATGGCGATTCCTTTTCAAAATGTGGCTCTCGCCTTAGCGCCGCGCACACTCGTCGTAAAAGTGTGCAGCAGTTTCAAGGGTTCGTATGGCTGGAGCCACAGGAGTGGCGTTCTGGCACGATTGAGGATTGTCAGGACGCAACAGTCAAGTTGATTCGCGGCGTTGAAGTCTCAGGAACGGTGTTCGGGCGCGATTTAGGACTGTCAGGGCGCAACAGTCACTTGGATTTGCGGCGTTGAAGTCCAAGGAACGGTGTTTGGCAGGCTTGGAGATTATCGGGTTGTTTTCCTTGAATGGGGCACTTCCCGCACTACACATCAAGTATTGAATAGACCTATGAAGGGTGAACTCAAAGGGAGCGCCTATTGCACAATCGTTGATGCGTCTTGGGTTTACACTGGTCCTCCTCCTCCTCCTTCTCCCTCCTTCCCGAAGACCCTGGAGACCGAAAGGGCCAGAAGCGTCCACAACCTCTCAGCTACAAGCAAGAGCGACCATATGCAAACGTGAGGCTTGCCGATCGTTGCATGTGATGCGGCAGAAGCGGCCTGCTGGCTTGTGGTTCGGCCCCCGCGCCCTCACAGAGCCACTCATCAAAAGGGTCACTCAAGCGCAGGGCCACGTGGCCGACTCTGGACCCCCTGGACCCAAGCATACTCAGTAAGCGTGTTTTGACTCCTGCTTTCGACATTCAGCAGGGGGTAAGGGAGGGTCGGGCTCTGGCCCAATGCTTCATCGACCTGCGTTTGCCGTGCTGCTTTTGCCGCTGCCGGCTGCAGCAACTGGCTACAGCTCAACTAGAGCAGTTACCGGTCTACCAGAGCAATCTGCCGGCTACCCAAGTGGCTACAGCAACCAGATCCTACCATAGCTGGCCATCCACCATCGTGCCTGCACGGGATGGGCGTGTTAGAACCTGGGCCGTCATGGGAACGGAAAGAGCGCTTCAGAAACTTGTCCACAAAAGCTCCTACCACCTTTTCGTACTGAGAGCCTTTGCGTTCAGAGCTCTTCACGTCGTCGTTGGTACTAAGAGCCTTGGCGTTCAAAACTCGTCACGTCATCGTTCGTACTGGGAACCATGGCTTTCAGTGCTCTTTACGTCATCGTTCGTACGGGGAGCCTTGGCGTTAAAAGCTTTCGACATCATCGTTCGTACTGGGAGCCTGGGGGGGACGGGAGCCTTAATCTTGGGTCGGATGGCTTGAGAGGTCAGTCCTTGCTCTCCCTCTTGGGGCTCGCTTGGGGCCTTGCTGGGCCGTCTCGGTGGCGTCTTGGGCCGTCCCGGAGCCCTCGCAACCCTGAGGCCCTTTTGTTGGCCTGTGGGGTCATCTTGGGCGGAGTGAAAGCCCAAAACGCGAATGTGCTAAAAACGCACGTCACACATGCGGAATGGGACGACTTTTGCCTCTCGGGGCCATCTTGAGGGCGCTCTTGCGGACCTGTAGAACGATCTTGGGGGCCTCTACAGCAATTTGAAGCGTTCCGTGGGCTGTCTGAGACCCCTCCAAACCGTCTTAATCTGTCTTGGCCGCCGTCTGATCGCCTTCAGTCAAAACGATATTGCCCCCCCACCAAAACGCGGGCCTGGCCCCAGGACCCCCTGGGTCACAGGGTGTTGGTGGAAATGTTTGGACATGTTTGGGTAACGAACAGCTGATTGCGTCTCGCTTTGACCTCCGCCAGCTGATCCGCTGCCGTTTTACTTGCGCCGGCCCCCGCCGAGGGCGAGACGCGAGGAGGTTTTGCATTCGGGTCATGACTCGGGCCTCCGGAGGGCCGCTCGGGACGACTCGGGCGCCCCCCCGGACGCTCTCAGCGAGTCTCAGCTGCTGGGCTGTACCCCAGGGCGAGAAGACCTCCCAGAACCAGCGAAACCCAACCGAATTAGCCTGACGAGGGACCCAACCATATGCAGGTGTGCGTGTACCGCAATAGTGATTCAATTTTTCGGTGGCGATCCCTATGAGGCAACGAACCGTGCTAGGGGTGTGCCGACATGAGTGGCGTGGTACACAGCGCGAACGAAAACGGTTGATCTGAGTACGTAGGGAGACTGAGCGCGGGTGAATCTGCGCGCGTGCTTCTGACTGTGAATGAATCTGCGTGCGAGCGAGCCTACGCGCATGAATGCGAGTATGACAAAGCATGGTGCAATTGAATCTGAATGCCAATAGTTTGACAATGACTGCCTCCGAGTACTCGTGACGCTGGGCGTGGCCGCCGCAAGGAGCTTCCCCGGGACTCCCCGACGGCATCGCCCGCGCGCCGCGACGCCAATGTCGGCGCGCCCCCCCGCGAGGATCGCGTCCGCTTCCTCCCCTTCCTTTACTCCCTCTTTGCCCACGCACTCAAAAATCCAAGGCTGCGGGCGCAGCGCAGCGCGGAGTCCCCGCGACGCGCGCAGGTCGCCCCGGAGGGTTCCCAGCGACGCGCGCGGGTCGTCCGCTGCGCGCAGCAAAGAGAGCTAGCTGGCTGGCTGATGGCGGGCAAGGCTCCTGCCGCTGGGCAGAGCGACGACGGGCGAGCGAGGCGCTGGGCAGAACACAGCACGGAGTCCCCGCGACGCGCGCAGGTCGCCCCGGAGGGGTCCCAGCGACGCGCGCGGGTCGTCCGCTACGCGGAGCAAAGAGAGCTAGCTGGCTGGCTGGGACCTGCGGTGGGGCTCCCTATGGGGCCACGTAACGCTGTACTGGGTAAGGGAGACGCATGCGGACTGCGCCACGGGGACCTTCGGTGGAGTTCCCTATGGGGCCACGAAACGTGTGAAGTGTGTGCCGAAATGAGTGGCGGGGACGCATGCGGACTGTGCCACTGGGACCTTCGGCGGAGCTCCTATGGGGCCACGAAGCGTGTGAGGGGTGTGCCGACATGAATGGCGGGGACGCATGCGGACTGTGCCACTGGGACATTGGACGGAGCTCCTATGGGGCCACGAAACGTGTGAGAGGTGTGCCGAAATGAATGGCGGGGACGCATGCTGACTGCGCCACCGGGACCTTCGGTGGAGTTCCCTATGGGGCCACGAAGCGTGTGAGGGGTGTGCCGAAATGAGCGGCGTGAACGCATGCGGACTGTGCCACTGGGACCTTCGGCGGAACTCCTGTGGGGCCACGAAACGTATAAAGGGTGTGCCGACATGAATGGCGGAAACGCATGCGGACTGTGCCACTGGGACCTTCGGCGGAGCTCCTATGGGGCCACGAAGCGTGTGTGGGGCGTGCTGAAATGAGTGGCGGGGACGCATGCGGACTGTGCCACTGGGGCCTTCGGCGGAGCTCCTATGGGGCCACGAAACGTGCGAGGGGTGGGCCGACATGAATGGCGGAGACGCATGCGGACTGTGCCATTGGGACCTTCGGCGGAGTTCCCTATGGGGCCACGAAACGTGTGAGGGGTGTGCCGACATGAGCGGCGGGGACGCATGCGGACTGTGCCACTGACCTTCGGCGGAGCTCCTATGGGGCCACGAAGCGTGTGAGGGGTGTGCCGGCATGCGTAGCGGGGACGCATGCGGACTGTGCCACCGGAACCTTCGGCGGAGCCCACATGGGCCACAAAACATGTGAGGGGTGGGCCGAAATTAACGGCGGGGGCGCATGCGGACTGTGCCACTGTGACTCGGCAGAGCTCCTATTTGGCCACGAAGCGTGTGATGGGGTGTGCCGAAATGGGTGTGCGGGACGCATGCGGGCACACCCACTGGGACCTTCGGTGGAGCTCCCTATGGGGCCACGAAGCGTGTGAGGGGTGGGCCGAAATGGGTGTGCGGGTCGCATGCGGGCACACCCACTGGGACCTTCGGTGGAGCTCCTTGAGCTCCTTATGGGGCCACGATACGAGTGAGGGGTGTGCCGAAATCGGTGTGCGGGACGCACGCGGGCACCCCCAGTGGGACCTTCGTCGGAGCTCCTATGGGGCCACGAAGCGTATGAAGGGTGTGCCGAAATGGGCGTGCGGGACGCACGCGGGCACACCCACTCGGACTTTCGGTGGAGCTCCCTATGGGGCCACGAAACGTGTGAGGGGTGTGCCGAAATGGGTGTGCGGGACGCATGCGGGCACACCCACTGGGACTTTCGGTGGGGCTCCCTATGGGGCCACGAAACGTGTGAGGGGTGGGCCGAAATGGGCGTGCGGGACGCATGCGGGCACACCCATTGGGACCTTCGGTTGGGTTCCCTATGGGGCCGCGAAGCGTGTGTGGGGTGTACCGAAATCGGTGTGCGGGACGCATGCGGGCACATCCACTGGGGCCTTCGGTTGGGCTCCCTATGGGGCCGCGAAGCGTGTGAAGGGTGTACCGAGATGAGTGTGCGGGACGCATGCGGGCACACCCACTGGGACCTTCGGCGGAGCTCCCTATGGGGCCACGAAGCGTGTGATGGGTGTGCCAAATTGGGTGTGCGGGGCGCATGCGGGCACACCCACTAAGACCTTCGGGGGAGCTCCCTATGGGGCCACGAAGCGTGTAAAGGGTGTGCCGACATGGGTGTGCGGGACGCGTGCGGGCACACCCACTGGGACCTTCGGTGGAGCTCCCTATGGGGCCACGAAGCGTGTGAGGGATGTGCCGAAATGGGTGTGCGGGACGCATGCGGGCACAACCACTGGGACCTTCGGTGGAACTCCCTCTGGGGCCACGAAACGTCTGAGGGGTGTGCCGATGTGGGTGTGCGGGACGCATGCGGGCACACCCATTGGGGCCTTCGGTGGAGATCCCTATGGGGCCACGAAACGTGTGAGGAGTGTGCCGAAA